AAACACTAAACCTGAACTAAACAGTGTTGAACAAAAGCAAACGTGAGATAAAAATGCAATTGCTAAATCAACCATGCCATTAGCTGCGTTTCTATTACCCTTCAAATTTCGCGAATTGAAATCGCGAATTGAAAATATGCCCAATTCTAGTGTTTATACCAGCCGCACTGCAACACATTTCAGAAACGTCCTAGAAGCGGCTCTCTGCGCTGCTTTGCTAAAGATACACACGTGTTGAACAAAAGCAAACGTGAGATAAAAATGCAATTGCTAAATCAACCATGCCATTAGCTGCGTTTCTATTACCCTTCAAATTTCGCGAATTGAAAATATGCCCAATTCTAGTGTTTATACCAGCCGCACTGCAACACATTTCAGAAACGTCCTAGAAGCGGCTCTCTGCGCTGCTTTGCTAAAGATACACACCTACATCTCCTTTGATTAAAAATAATGCTAGTGCGGCTGCTGCGATAAACATAAACCTACTCAAATCCGTCACCATGACTTATAGTGAGAGATAGTCACATAACATTGGTTAATGGAAAAGCCGTAATTTCGCAATAGTTTTTTTTATTGACATTTATAAAATATCACAAAAGATTTGCGCAAATCTGTAAGGAAAACGCAGCTATATTTTAGCTTTCTACAAATTTAAGCTCTTTTATCACAACTCTTGTTTCACAGGACTCATACGCGAACGCCCAGCATCGCAAGTGTAACTCCATACCAGGTGTGCTACGGAGCAAGTTTACTACATCAGAAAAGCAATATATATGAAGCGGATTATATGATGCAAATGTTAAAATGTATTCGTTTGCAAAACATGCACTGTGGTGAAAGGCCATAACATGGCTATTGTGCAAAGAAGCACACATTAATCGATAATTAATCATTTATTAATCAATAATGGGATTCTTTAATCATAATTTGGGTGGAAACTAAAGTATAACTGCTGTGTATATATGTATAGGTATGTTTTTGGAAATGTTTAGGCTTTGCAAATAGTAGGCACAGTTTTCCAAAGAGCCTATGTTAAAAGAAAAGGCTTTATTGTGCAAACCCGTTGATACAAAGAGTGTTAAAATATGCTTTTAGTAAAAACATGTCATATAAACCCCCCAATCTGCCAGGAGTGGAGACACTCTGATGAAGGTCATTCATAATGATTAAAATCCAAATGATTCCTAAATGACCCAAGGGATTGTGGGTCTAGTGGCACCTCTATACATGAAAATTGCATTACCAGTCAAAGACACTGTCCAGGGACTCGCACCTCCAACATTAGCACAGACAGCCCGTGCCGCGAGCAATGAGCCATCAAAGGAACAATCAAATATGACGTGAGGCAAGGCAGGACTAGCAGATGAACGGTGCGGAGGGGTTTCTTGTATTGCTGATATGGAATCTTTGGCCATTTCGATATTTGATAGATGACGATGCCCTTGAGGTTCAGAAACATGGATTGATAATTAACACCCAAGGCGATGTTTAGAAATGTGATTTCCCAAAGGAGCGCAATGGTTAGATGAGATTTTGTGTCATAACAAACAACTGGATTGGTGTGAAATACAAAAGAGGTGATATTAACATATATAGCAGCCTACATTTACTGGAAGTTTAAGGTAGCGAGTGGTGAAGAGGACTAGTGAAGCACTTGATGGAATGTAGTTTCAAGGTTATTCTACACAATTGGTGGCTTTTGTTTCTCCTATTAACGTGTGTGTAAATAATGACTTGAACAATGAAGAGTGACATTGCAGAATGCACAGATTCCTGTTAAGATGACTGGATTTCAACAAAACGTGTGCCCAACAATAGTACATATGACCACATATTCTAGCATTTCAATTGCAATTCTCATTGGTTTATATACACAGTTTTTCAGCATCTTGTACCATGACCTCCTTTTTTTTCTTTGTACGTAGTGTATGTAGTGTGTATATACAAACAACAGTTTGTTCTGGTTCTCAAATCTGATTGGCTGAGATGTCATTCCAACCATGAGTATTGGCAATATATCTCAATATCTTAGTTCACCAAAATTGTCATAATTTAGTCTACATTTATTCTATAACAGAACTTTCTCTTTTTTTGAGTAAACTATCCTTTTAATGAAGTATTCATGGAAAATTAGCTGTGGATCTTTTAAATCTAAACATATTGGTCATGTTTTAGATAAATTAAAAGAAGTGGAGCACATAATACCCAGATTTGCCAGAATGAAGCTTTACAACAGCCATATGCACTTTATTCATAATGCAATGTTGTAATTATACACACTCTGAGAATTTTAATTAAGTGATTCAGATGCATTTGCAGCAATGGGGTCAAGACAGTCCTGTTAATTCCAGTCGTTCCTGCATAGCTAAAAATAAAACTGTAAGTTATTCATGTAAGAGATTCATGTAAGAATAAAGTTGTGGGGAAGTCGTGGCCTAATGGTTAAAGAGTCAGACTCGTAAGACTCGGGTTCGAGTCTGGTACCGGCAGGGATTGTAGGTGGGGGGAGTGAATGTACAGCGCTCTCTCTACACCTTCAATACCACGACTGAGGTGCCCTTGAGCAAGGCACCGAACCCCCAACTGCTCCCCGGGCGCGAGAGGACTTACTGAAAATACTTATACTGATCATAATTATAAGCAATTTTAATATGAATACAATATTGTGGCCTTTCAGTAGTTTTAATAGCATAATAATGTGCTAATTATGGACCTAAAATATGGGTAGAAAAGAACTAATGTCTTGAATTTGGTTTTGAATTATTCATTTCTGACTCTGAGTCTTACCATTCAACATTTTATTTTTATTATGAAACGTATAAAGTAGTATGTATGTATGTGTGGCATGTTGTTGATTACCACAGACAGTCATTTCAACTTGTACCTCAGTGCACATAAAAATGGAAGACAATGGGATTGGGAGACATTAAAACACTACAACTTCTGGTATTTGAGAAGTCGGAAAAGGATACTGACAACTGAAAACATTAGCATCCTAGGCTAACTACATAATCGTCATCTACTATGTGCAATGCGTCACCTAGTATGTTAAGTTGTCCAACCAGAGATGTTCTTTACAACAATAAGAGCTTTTAAAGCAATAATTCATCCAAAAATGAAAATTTGATGAAAATATCCTCATCCTTAGCACATCCAAGATCTAGATGAGGTTGTTTCTTCAACAGATTTGCAAAAAATGTAGCATTATATCACTTGCTCAGCAGTGGATGCTCTGCAGTGAATGGGTGCCGTCAGAATGAGTCCAAACAGCTGATAAAAACATCACAATAATAATTAATGTCTTGTGAACTGTTACTTCTGATGAAAATACGAGTCTACGTTTCCTCCAGTGAAAAAGTCCATCTCTGTTGGCTCTCACATTAAAATCCACCCACATATTTGTTTAGAGCTGTTTTGGACTATTTTTACTTGTAAACGGTGCTTGATCCGTGCAGATTGTTCTCCTGATTCAGCAGAAAAGCAATATCATGGAAGCAATTATGGATTTGTTTCTTACAAACACGCAGCTTTTGGCTTCACAAGACATTCATTTATGGACTGGAGTGGTATGGATTACTTGTGATGTTTTTATCAGCTGTTTGGACTCTCATTCTTACGGCACCCATTCACTGCAGAGGATCCACTGGTGAGCAAGTGATGCAATGCTACATTTCTCAAAATCTGATGAAGAAACAAACTCATTTGCAAATTTAATGGCCTGAAGGGGAGTAAATATTCTACAAATTTTAATTTTTGCGTGAAATACTCCTGTTATCTTCCTGGCCTATCTGTCTATTTACTGTAAATGTACACAATTCAATGCTTGTCTGTACACTGAGGGACGAGTCCAAATTATTGTCCACAGTAATTGACAGATGTGGCACGTAGAATTTGAACTTATTTTCACTGATTTTGCTAATGTCTGACATACTGAACCAACTTAAAGCCAACATGAAATGATATTCACAACCCAGTTTACTTCCATAACGCCACATATTTCACTGTATCCAAATGTATTGTTATCTGCTCTTGTTGCCTAAATAGGTATGTTTGCAGCCTAGAAAAAGAAAGTCGTTTCATATGGAGCAAGTTGAAGATTTTACAGAAAACAATTATAATTTGCGCACAATAAAACCCAAAATCTGAATTAGGAAAGAAAAATAGGGTCCATTGTGATTTCATGTTGACTTTAATATCCACCTAGCTGTGAAAACTGAGCAAGGCAATAATATGGGTAGCAAAATACAGTAGAGATCACTCCATCAACGGTAAAACAATTGTTCATTTTCTATCTAAAGAATCACTGAGAGGCAATATAAACATTTATTGACCGGACTGAATATACATAGTATGTTAGCCCACCTGTGCACTAAAGTATATCAACATCACAGGAACATGGATGGATGCATTTGAGCTCCACTTCAACTACGCAACTGTACACTATTTACACATAAAACACCAACACATCAGTGGAACTAAAATAAATTTGTGGTTTTGAAACGTGTCACATTTTTAAAACCAATTAAATTTCCTCCACCCTTCACGACACAGATATTGTGCAAAAGGAAAACGATCCTGTCCATTGCTTTGTCCTCTTATTGAAACAAGGAAGCAATAATTTCGAAAGAAGTAAAATCAACATCAAGCTTGAAATCTACTATTGCTTTGTTTAACACTGCCATACGTTTCCTCAGCCCGTGATATGACTTCAGTCTTACTGTCTGAATTCGCCTCAGGTGAACTTTTTGTGGGGGCGGGGGACATCCAAGCTGAAACCGACTGCAGTCTCTTCCGGAGGTAATAATATTGTTGAATGAGGTCATGGACAAATGGTATACATTCAGCCCAGAGACACCTGATCCCAAGTCAGTAGTCCTACCTGGAGATGTGCCACACTTTTCCAAACAACCACTCAACATTTCAGTCACGTTCCTCCTGTCACTTTAGTTTGGAGGCTTTGCACAAACGAAACAGTAACCGTTTGTCCATCTATCCAGCCATTTTTTTTTCATCAATGTCAAATTTTTCATTAAATAGTTCCGTTCAATAAATAAGTGTCTGTAGAAAGTGCTAGGCTGCTGATGGAGGTTCCTCTGAGGCCGCTCTCAGATGGGCATAGTGGCGTTCATCATTTGGACTCGCATCTCCTGAATGCTGTTGAGGATCTTTTTCTGATGGCCGGCCAAAGTGACTCCAACCCTCCTAAGATCTCTGCAAAAGAACAATAAATCAGTGATTTTTAGCTATAATGTATATCACTGATAATGATTAAAAAACCTGGAGTCAGACGTAAATAAAGATTTATCTACTTGGACTGGACCAAACTTTAGGGACTTGTTAAATTGGAACATTTTATAATGAAAGTAAATAGTTTAAATTCTGTTTTTGTCTGTAAAAGCTACTTTTGGCACTACTTTTGTTACTTGTTGTTCCACAAAATAAAAGAATGGATCTTTAAAAAGTTTGCTTCACAAATTACATTGTTGCTGTTCATTTACATATCTATGACAACTAATCAAAATTATACAGCATGTGGCTTAAACAAGTTATTGTTAACTAAAACAAAAACAGAAAATACTAAACATAATTTACAAAACAAACAAACAAACAAACAAATAAATAAATAAATAGCAACTAACTGGGAAAAAATAAGTACTAAAATTATTCAAACCTTCCATTAAACTTCTACCAAAGTCATTTTCTGGTAAAATATTTTTTTTGAGTACATTTAGCATACGCTTTTATCCAAAGCGACTTACAGTACATTAAGGCTATACATGTTTTATCAGTATGTGTGTTCCCTGGGAATCGAATCCGTGACCTTTTGCACTGCTAACGCAATGCTCTACCACTGAGCAACAGGAACATTTCAATATCCGTACTTATACTTGAGTATGACTTTCAGGTACTTTATACACCACTGTTGACATCCCAAATTAGAATCAGAGCAAGATTTGACATAATACTGATACAAGTTTGTCTTTTCTCACAAATGAAGGTCACCCTCCCCAGTCTCCATTCATTTATTTTGTTTGCAAAAGACTATTATTTCTAAAGATTTCAATTAGTGTTAAACGCTACCCTTAATTATGTCTTTATTAGTGCAGCCTATTCTGAAAGAACATAAACTTCCGGTCGTGCGTATGTGGGGTAAAGCAGATATCATACTAGATATGTTTGAAAGTTCTGTTATAATGCTACTCTGTGTGGTCGTCACCTGTCTAATAAAACGCATAACATATTAAAGCGTCTTTGCTGTTTCCATGTTTTCTACAAAACACAACCGGAAATCGAGGGGTTATGACGTCATTGGCAGGCGACACAATGACACTATAGACACGCTCCGTGCCACTAGTTAAAATTGCTTATTTCTCTGGATTTAAACATTCTTCGAAACATTTGGGATAATGTAAGTACACAAGTCAGCAAAATATATAACACTGTTCTAGTGGTTTTTGGATATTTTAATAAAAAAATCTTACATATTGTGCCTTTAACAGAAAGTGCATCCACATTTCCCAGGATCAAAACACTCTCAATACACTCAATTCTCAAGTACGTGAAAGGCAAAGAGGCTCAATGACCTCCACAACAGATGACTTACTCCAAGGTCATTTGAGTGACGACTTCCAGAGAAGTGTATCCACTTTCCATGAAAAGCTCAGTGTATCGACCCATTTTTATGGCCTCTAACCATTCCTCCACCGATCTGAATACACAGCCCTCAGGGCTCCCATGCTCCACTAATAAATTGGACACTCTGCGGGAGAGACAGGTACAGTGGTGAACAAATGAATCTATAGAGCTGACATTACAGTGAAGGCTGGATAATAAAAACGTTTATACAGATGTGAGCTGACTCAAAGAATAATACACCATCTAACAAACTTCTGAGGTATATCCAACATTTATGATGCAAATTTCCCCCTCAAAATGTGTAATATGATAATAACTGTTATTACACTGTAATAAATATGTTATTATACTGTAATAACTATGTTATTATACAAAAGTTTGAAACCAAACTGGAAATCTTCACACAGTTCTTGAAATAAACATCATTTTTGATTAAACTCAAATTATTTTAACAATTTTAAATGGAATTTGCAATAAAAATGTTATATTTAATTAAAAGCATTTTAACTGGGGACTCAGACTTTGTACACACACACACGCACACACATAATATTGAGAACAAGTATATGTATGAAACAGCTTATAATTCTGCTTTAATATGCATGTTAAATTTAAATCGCATTATGACTATACATATTAATATAATCAGTGATCTCTTGGCCACACTTGCTAATATTATCATCCAAGGCATATAAAGAAAATTACGGTGCAATAACACAGCTCGCGAAACATTCCCAGACTCCAAATCAATTTCATATTAAACCTGGACATAATTGCATAACACAATTACAGATAATGGATGATTCCAACATGTAAGAATACAGACCGCAAATGTATTCGATACGTATAATCACAGTAATTGGAAGTCATTTGCACACTGTCACTTCTGTTTAACGCGACATTAAATCACTAAATGTGAGTGCGTATTTGTCACCAGTGTCATTTAAAGCTTGATTTCCTGTGACAGCCGTGTAGCAGGGTGGTTAACCCTCGGTTATCAATGCTTCACAGACGTCACATCATTTGTGATCTCACAGTCGATGTTAATCACATGCCGTAAATAACAGCTTAATTAGCATATACACTCTGGGAACAGTAAAGAACGAGAACAAATGAACACAACTAAATCAATAACGGCTGGTCGTCTACCTGTTCGATGAGTTAACTAGACCCTTCAGGCTGCTGGGATTGCGGATGAGTTTGTCCAGTAAGCTGACAATCTCCTCAAATTTGGGCCGGCTGTTCCTGTCTTTCTGCCAGCAGTCCATCATGAGATGATAGAGGGCGGTCGGACAGTCCATGGGGCCCGGCAGCCTGTAGTTCTCCTCCACTGCCTTTATCACCTGAGACAACAGAAGAGATTGCAGGCATTTTACACCATGTTCCACGATAAATATATGATGTCCGAACACGGATTGTTCTGCTTCATGAATTGTTGCTGAGAGCAGGTGATGAATTCACACACTGACCTCGCCGTCTACTAGCTGCTCTAACTGAACAACCACCTCAAAACAGACTAGTTTGGATGTAATGTAATGCTATTACAGCATTATTAATATTAATATAGTAAACCGGGTAACACTTTATTTTATGGTGTCCTTCTTACACGTTACATGTACTTACTATTATATATCATCTTCTTTGGCTCTCAGCGAAGGCGGTCGCATTTCCTCTCCCTCTCCTCCCCGTTACCTTCCCTGCTTTTTGCTCCTCTCGTCTTGTCCACTGTCCTAATTTTGAGAGACTCTCTCCGCACTGCTCTCCAGACTTAAAAAAGAAAAATCTAATAAATCATGGATTTGATCAACTGGTCTTTCAACGCAATTGACACCATCTTCTCGACAAGAAGCTTGGGTTCGGGGGAACCTGACTGCCCTGCCGGAACGTTGGCTACACGATGGACGCGTGGGAAAGGTGGCGGGTCGTGTGTCTAGCGGCTCTTTCCGTGGAGGACATTGAAGATATCTACCTATTCGGAACCATGATAACAGGTCTTATGCTGATTGGATTAGGCATTGCCCTGGTTTATCGAGAAATTCAGAAACCGGACCAAAGCCTCACAAGGCTGCCCGTCATGATTGAAGCAGTGGGCAGAGCGGTCAGCACTGAGACTGGAACTATTAACCGCAAAATGGATAACATCACGGAGAAGCTCACTGCTTTGCAAAGGCAAATGGATCGATTCGGAGACCAGAATGGACAAAGAGAGTAGTCGTGTAAACTGGAATGCGGCTACTTGCCCCAAGACTAAACAATCCTAATCTTATCTGCTTTTGGCTCCCCTCAACCAGCACTGGCCTCAGCCAAGGCCGCTGTTGGGACAACTACTCCCCCGAGAGAGTACTGCAGTGAGACGCTCTTGTGTTCCTTCCCCCAACTCCTGACATTTACCAACCCTCCCCACATCCCTCGCCTTCGCCGCTTTGTTCCGCCAGTCTGACAAGCGGGTCTGCGATCAGCGCCGAGAATGGCTGCAGGACCGGATGGCTGCTTGGCTGTGCTGGGTTACCTCCACCTCCCCTCTCCCCCTACCCTGTTGCAAGTCGTGTGTATCTGTATTGATGTGCTTATGTTGCTGAGGTGTTTTTTTCCTGTTCCCACACTGTGCTCCCCATAGGAGCATAGTCTGGGGTCTGTTTTTTTTATATCCTCCCCTCCCTCATGTTATGCTGTATTTCTTCAAAAAAATTCGCTGTCCTCCTGTCCTGTCTACCCCCCTTGTCATATTGTATGTATGGACAGGTGGATGGCTAATTTCGCTGGTACCTGTGATCAGTGACAATAAAGGGCTCATTCATAAAACAATAAATTATGCATAGTTACATGCAAACTCTAATCCTAACCCTAACCATATAGTAAGTATGTGTAGTTTATTAATATTACTCAGTACTTAAATGTATACTTACACTGTAACAGGAACACCTTAAAATAAAATGTAAAGTGTAAAATAAAATAAATTAATAAATAAATGTCAAACGATTAATCGCATCCAAAACAAAAGTTTTGTTTACATTATATATGTGTGTACTGTGTATATTTATTATGCATATATAAATACACACACATACAGTATGTTTATACATTTATATATTCATGTTCTTATATTTTATATTATATATCAATATATTTAATATATAAACATAACATATTTTTCTTAAATATATACATGCATATGTGTGTGTTTATATATACATAATAAATATACACAGTATACACACATATATTATGTAAACAAAAAACTTTTATTTTGGATGCGATTGATCGTTTGACAGCACTAAATAGTACTGAATTAAATATTATTAAAACATATAATATATAATAAAATATAGGCCTAGATATAGACCTATATTTGTAACCATTAAAAGTTTAGGGCCAGTTTATATATATATACATACATACACACAGTATACACACACACACACACACACACACACACTTACATATATGCATATATATATATAGATATACTCTAAATAATTTATATATTGTTTATACATAAATATATACATAAACTAAATTGCTACAGAAATATTAAGCAGCTGAACAATTTTCAACATTGATAATAATCAGAAATGTTTCAGCTAATCAGCATATTGTGATTTCACAATTAATATTTCACAATATTACTGTTTTTACTGCCTTTTCGATTAAATATATGCAGCATTGGTGAGCCTAGGAATCATGTTTTGAATGGTATATAGCATGTGTTTTTGTAGTGTATCAGTTGACAGATATTATATATAATTTATGAAGATGTCTTGTTTGCCTTATAGGGTGAACGCGATATGTCTATTAGATCAGTTTGACTTTTTCTGTGATTCAAAACCTGGCAACAGAAATCAGAGCCGTGAATCAACAAAGAGCATCTTCTCTGTAAAATGCCCCTCACTCCCACATCACAAAGAGCAGCAGCAGCTCAGAAAGCAATCCCTCGCGGAAAACACTCAGAGAGAGAAAACACAGACAGAGAAAGAGACCGACTGACAGACAGACAGAGCCAGAGAAACACACCAGCGTCTAGCTGAGCCGAGGAAGCCGAGATCTGAGGGGAACCCTCAAGAAACCGCTAAATAAAACATCAAATAACTCTCCCTTCCCAAGCGTGTGTGAAACAGATTAATGATGGCGCACAGAACGAGATGTGAGGTGCAGATGAAGCCGTCACTGGCAACTGTAAAGGAGGAAAAAAGGTCAGTCGTGCTTGATAAAACCGTGACTGCTGTGTGCACCTCCTTCTGGGATATGCTGGGAAAACTTAGGCATCGCCTTGTGTTTCATCTCTGCCTGCAAATATACTTGTCATCTCATACACTGACATATGACATGCACATCTACATAACAAAAGACAGAGAGGCGGCTGTTCGCCGTGTACTTTGTGTTTTTCAATATCTGAGGCTGCAGTGCTTTAATAATAGTTAAAAAGATGCTTGTGATTTGTAATGTCTTTACTGCATTAACATTTATAGCTATTTGTATTTAACATTTAGGAGTATATTTTTGTTTATTTGGGTAGACACTGATACATAAACTGCCGTATACAAGCTTAAAAAAAAAAATTATTAATACTTTTTATTATATCTATTTATTACTTTTTCAATCAAAGGCTGTTCTTTTGAACTTTTGTTTATCAATTAATCCTAAAAAAATAAAAAATAAAAATCCACAAAGATATGGAGCAGCACGACTGTTTTTATAACACTAATAATAAAACACTGATAATAAACAGAAATGTTTCTAAGCATATTACAATGATTAAATTAGCTAAGCATATTACAATGATTTCTGAAGATCATGTGACACTGAAGACTGGAGTAATGACGCTGAAAATTCAGCTTTGATCACAGAAATAAATTTCATTTTAAAATTTGTTCAAGTAGAAAACAGAAAAATGTTATGTTGTAATAATATTTCACATTATTAGTGTTTTATTGTATTTTGTATTAAATAAATGCAGGGTTGGTGACAGGGTTTTGACTGTTTACTTGAATTATGAAAACAATATTTACTTAAGAAATTCTTAAAGACTAATTTGTTAATATTTATATTACTATTTTGCTTTAAAAATAATGTATATATTTATTTATTTATTTAAATATCAGTTATGAAAATGGTATTTATTTATTTTTAGTTTAATATCCCTGGTATACACTTTTCTAAGCTTCTATGTTATTATTTGCTGTATGAATCAGTGTCTATTCAGCGAGATCATGTTTGTATTTAGACAGAGACAAGGAAACGATAGATGATGTTAGCTTCTGGTAAAAGCTACTGTACTTAATGTCTTTTAAAGAAACTCTATGCCTGAGTCGAATTCTATTACGCCAGCAGATTTCTGTCTACAAAGAGCTGATGCACTTTCCGTGCAGAAAAGCCAAGAGTAAAATTCTTGTGGCCAAAACCTGAAACTCCCATTTTCAACCCAAATAGCCATTACCCAGCATCCTGTGTGTTCCTATTCTGCTGTTGAGCAGGTGACCTTTGACTGGACCGCAGGCAGATGCACCGCGGTGGGAGAAAGAGTTTATTCAGCCCCAACCCAACCCCAAAATCTGCATGGCTCTCCCCCGCTGATGGTGTTCGATATGTCAGTTCAGCTCAGAGTTTACCCTCACTTCCTGATCTATTTATAGACGTCAGCATTCTATCGCTCTCATTTCCCCAAAGGCAAATACGAGAGAGCATGTGAGCGCTTAAAACAGCCATGGGAAGCAATTATTGTGGTGTAGTGTTAAAAGACTGCAGGGGGAAACTGCACTTTGGCTTCACTGGATCATCACTGGATATACCATATTATTATATTTACAAAAATAACTAAATTTTAAATTCAAAGTAATTGCGCGTTAATTGCGGCTAAGAAGTTACCCCCCAACATATCACATAAAGTAATTATTGTGTTAAATGAGAAAAAAAAAACACTGAATAGCCAATTATATTTAAATATGTAAACATGGAATTATTATTTTTTTTCAAGAAAACAAAACTCAATATTAAACAAAAAACACCAGTAGGTGGCACCAAGTCACTGTCTTAATAAACAAGTAATTCAGACATGCATTCAGCTGATTCGTTCAAATGGCTGATTCATTCAGAAACAAAGCATATGACTGGCTTCATGAATGAGTCACTGAATTATTCACTCACTCGATTTGTTCAAACGGCCAATTCATTCAAGTCAAGTCAAGTCACCTTTATTTATATAGCGCTTTTAACAATACAGATTGTGTCAAAGCAACTGAACAGCATTAATTAGGAAAATAGTGTGTCAATAATGCAAAATGACAATAGTAAACACTCATTTTTCAGTTAAAGACAGTTCATCATTGAATTCAGTGACGAAGCAAGCGGCCATCTTTATGAATGAGTCACTGAATCATTCACCACTCGATTAAAAATGTGTTGATTCATTCAGTAACAAAACACTAACGTGTGTTGCTCGAAAAGACAACTGGACAACTGACTAGAACTATTTTCGTTTGTGAAATTGAACAAAACATACAATACTGACAATACTGTGTCTAAAATAAGTCATCCCAATAAGACCACATATGAACTAGGGGTGTGCGATATATATCGTCTGTGATAATATCGTAATTGTTGTTTTAACGATGTGCATTTTGACATTATTGAGTATTTTGCAAAAACCATTCAAAACATCCCTACAGAGCGCACGCATACATTATGTGAAGTCTAGACTAGTGCGTGTGCGCATTTAGTGTGTTTTCTTTCACTGCATGATTCAGTCTATTAAAATGCATTTAGAATGAGCACAAATTCAAGACATGATGGCAGAACATTTATATATTTATACCACTTCATATAGTTATTCAATTTCACACGAAGAGTGCCGTTCTCTCCAAAAATTACCATGATTACAAATGTGACATTGAATTCAATAAACAATAAGTTAATTAAGAGACTTATGTTTTAGACACCATATTGCTTGTTTTTGCTCTATTTCGCCAACAA